GTGTGAATACATGAAATAATAATAGTATGAAATGAAATGAAAATATTTGTGATTATAATCACAGTTAAATGTCAAGTGGCAAAACAATTAATGTCATATATGGAATATATAGAATAATACGTAAGGTGTATAGATTTTGGAAAGGAGTACATGATTATAGGATTAGTAGGCGAATATAAAATGTTACATAACATGGTGTGAAATTTGATAAGATAGAATTCAATATTATAAAAATAAAATATATAAAAATTAATAATTTTGGTTTTAAAATGACAAGTGGGTCAAGTGGAAAAGATTCAGAGTGAGAACAGTAATAATAATAATAATCGTAGTAATAAGGGAAAAGTACATAGAATAAACGAAATAAATGAATGTCTATCCCTCTAGGGCCAAGGCAGAAGTAGGGATTGTACATACTTCTTTTGCAGACAAAAGTCTGGCTTAAATTCATGAATTGCCAAGGCTGTCTTTAGAAGTCTGTAACGAAGAAAACGCTGCAATTTAGCATGGATTTGGCAGATGATGTTAAAATCATGGTCAGGGTTGACAGAGTGACAGAAGTCGATCAGGTGTTCCAAAATAGAGCTTCGCACACACTTCCTTTCTCCCTTGTAAAACCATGCTGAAATGTGTTCTCGAATCAGTGTGGAAAGCGTCCTCTGACTACGGCCAATCTACCTTGCTCCACAAGAACAGGTGAACTGATAGACGCACATGGAGGCGGCCAGACAGGAGAGTTTATCATTTACAGAGATGGAGAACAACTTGCGGTTGGTGAACGTCATATGTAATTTTGCTGCAAAGAACGCCTTACTGATTTAGAGAGACGATTTTTGACCATATCTGAAGCTTGATTACCTTTGAATTCCAAGTTCATGAATAAGGTTTTCTTTGGAACTGAGTCGGTGACCAGTTTAGACTGCTTGTCTTTCATGTTGCTGTCAATAAATGGGTTAGGGTAACCTTTTTCTGCCAGCGTGGCTTTTAAGAAGTCAAGTTCTGAGTCAACGCAATCAGAACTACAAATTTTCCTTATCCTAAAGCACAGCGCATGAATTAGGTTCCTTTTCCTGGAGATAAGCACTCAAAATTAGTAAGTTGTCCGTTCGATGTACGTTTCCGGTGGATATATCTTTTGAGAGATCCGTCATTACGTCTGCTAAGGCACACATCAAGAAACGGAATACTTAGTACAGATTCCTTTCCCATGGTGAATTGTAAAGAAGGATGGCAGTTGTTGAAAGCAAACAAGACATCATCAAGAATTACGTTATTATCGCAGATAACGCCTACCTCATCTACCAGTGTACGCATTCTTTGTTTCTTTGGGTAAATATACTCCTCTTTATCATTTCACCTTGTTATGTTTTTTCGCTCACGTAGCAGGTTGGAAAAGCAGTTAACCATCGCATAACGTTAGTGGCGTAGACAGGTGATACTCCAGACCGCTTCGTCTGTTACCAGCTCGGATGTCCTTAAAAAAATCAGTCAAAATTTATGAATTTATAGTTACTGGCTGGAGCAGAGTTCAGGTTACTTTAAGCACAAATAGCAACGGTTTCCACTGTTTATTTGGAGTAGTCGACATTTAGAGGTCTTTATCAAGCTATGTGATACCTCGACAGATGATGGAAAAAGAGATAAAGTTAAAGTACCATGTCCCAGGAGTGCAAACGCTCCAATCACCTCGAATGCATACTAGTTGTTGCATAACAAACTTACTTACCATTATTGTAGCGTCAATGAGAACACCATTCACGAATTAAGGCGTAAACTTCACCGAGATCCCGTTTTTAACTACTGTTTGGACAATGTTTTAATAGCTCGTTAGGGATAGGATTAGGGTTAAGGCTATGATAAGGGCTGTAATTGGGATTCGAGTTAGGATTAAGGTTAGGTTTAGGGTTGGTATTGTTTATTTCAATTAGTTTTCTTATCCACATTTTCCTATTGTAAGTAGTCTTCCATCCTCTTACTAGAAACCATAGAAATTCAATCGAAAGCTTTTGGGTTAGACTGCAAAGCATAATAAGAGTGATAAACGCTCACAATAATAAGGCAAGAGAGACACTCATCACTGTGAAATCAATTTCAAAATATTCTGAAGTCAGCGACAGTAGAATGAATGAAATTCGTGTTTCCAAAACCAATGATACGTCAGTCAGCAGTGTCAGTTCTTCTACAGGTGTGTGAGAAACATGGCGAGCCCATCACGAGAAGCAGGTTTCGAACAGGCTGGTGAAGACTTCTATCATCAGCTGCCCACTTCGCTGTCTGCCTAGTGAATATCAGATTACCGGTCAGAGGGAGAGAGATGGAGAGTTGGGAATAAGAAACTCGGTGAACGAACGAACGAACAGGCGATAGATAGTCTTTTGCTCAAGAAATGTGTGGAATGGAATGGAGATTGATTGGAGACACACTGAAGAGACTGGTGTGTGTATGTGTGACATCGCAGGCCAGATAGGTCTTTGATTGGAAGCTGAATGTAGAACGACCAGTTAGGTGTGAATCTGAGGGTCATATGTGGATAGATGAAGGCTGATGTGAAATCGTGGGGCCTGCTGTAGAGGACAACAGTTGACAGGGTGAAGTGGAAATGTTCCTTTGAAGGCTCAAGGGGATAATAATAATAATGACAATAATAATGAGGAAGCTATATATCAATGTGTCTCAAATGGATGCATTAATATTACAGCAGCTCTTACTATTTTATTGATAACCGCACCACCAACAAATACTAAGCTGTTATACTCTTCGCACCTCCTCAACCCGAACAAATTCACGACTCTAAGTATTTGAAACAATCAAATATGCAGAGGTAAACGTCAACCTTTGGTTTCAAACATAAATTGGACATGGTATAGTGATTATTATGTTAAGTCAAAAACCACTAACTGTTCTATAAACATGTTTGATCACCCGGTCCATCACTAGGCATAATGACAGTATTGAAAAATTCTTTTTCGCTGAAGTTTAAATACAACGTCCTATGGGATACGAACGGAGGAGTGACCTTGTGCCAACCAATCATAAAAATAAGTGATATATTCACAGAAAAAACGGCATTTATTTTCAAGGAAATGCGTGAAAACACACTAATAACTTAAAAAATAGCTCCCAATTATAATGAAGAGTATCATTTTTTTAAGTTGGACCAGTCTCTGTACACGTATTCATCGAGGTGATTGAAGAGGAGCTTATTATTGTGAGGCATTTATCACTCTTATTATGCTTTGTAGTCTAACCCAAAAGCTTTCGATTGAATTTCTATGGTTTCTAGTTAGAGGATGGACGACTACTTACATTAGGAAAATGTGGATAAGAGAACTAATTAAAATAAATAATACCAACCCTAAACCTAACCCTAACCTTAATCCTAACTCGAATCCTAATTACAGCCCTTATCATAGCCTTAACCCTAATCCTATCCCTAACGAGCTATTAAAACATTGTCCAAACAGTAGTTAAAAACGGGATCTCGGTGGAGCATACACCTTAATTCGTGAATGGTGTTCTCATTGGCGCTACAATAATGGTAAGTAAGTTTGTTATCCAACAACTAGTATGCGTTCGAGGTGATTGGAGCGTTTGCACTCCTGGGACATGGTACTTTAACTTTATCTCTTTTTCCATCATCTGTCGAGGTATCACATAGCTTGATAAAGACCTCTAAATGTCGACTACTCCAAATAAACAGTGGAAACCGTTGCTATTTGTGCTTAAAGTAACCTGAACTCTGCTCCAGCCAGTAACTATAAATTCATAAATTTTGACTGATTTTTTTAAGGACATCCGAGCTGGTAACAGACGAAGCGGTCTGGAGTATCACCTGTCTACGCCACTAACGTTATGCGATGGTTAACTGCTTTTCCAACCTGCTACGTGAGCGAAAAAACATAACAAGGTGAAATGGTAAAGAGGAGTATATATACACAAAGAAACGAATGCGTACACTGGTACATGAAGTAGGCGTTATCTACGATAATAACGTAATTTTTTATTATGTCTTGTTTGCTTTCAACAACTGCCATCCTTCTTTACAATTCACCATAGAAAAGGAATCTGAACTAAGTATTCCGTTTCTTGATGTGCGTCTTAGCAGACGTGATGGCGGATCTCTCAAAAGATCTATCCACCGGAAACGTACATGGAACGAACAACTTACTAATTTTTAGTGCTTATCTCCAGGAAAAGGAACCTAATTCATGCGCTATGCTTTAGGATAAGGAAAATTTGTAGTTCTGATTGCGTTGACTCAGAACTTGACTTCTTAAAAGCCACACTCGCAGAAAACGTTTACCCTAACCGATTTATTGACAGCAAAATGAAAGACAAGCAGTCTAAACTGGTCACCGACTCAGTTCCAAAGAAAACTTTATTCATGAACTTGGAATTCAAAGGTGATCAAGCTTCAGATATGGTCAAAAATCGTCTCTCTAAATCAGTCAGTAAGGCGTTCTTTGCAGCAAAATTACATATGATTGGAGACACACTGAAGAGACTGGTGTGTGTATGTGTGACATCGCAGGCCAGATAGGTCTTTGATTGGAAGCTGAATGTAGAACGACCAGTTAGGTGTGAATCTGAGGGTCATATGTGGATAGATGAAGGCTGATGTGAAATCGTGGGGCCTGCTGTAGAGGACAACAGTTGACGGGGTGAAGTGGAAATGTTCCTTTGAAGCTGTATGTTGTCTTCGGGACTCAAGGTGATAATAATAATGATAATAACAATATATCTAGCTAAATTATTGATTTGGCGGGAAATTCAAAACAACTGTATCTATCAAATATTATCTTATTTAAAATAGAAATGATTACGTCATAAAAAGAGTAAGTATTACAATAATTTGATGATCTCATGATGATGCCGATAATGATGATGGGAAAACAGCGTTTTTAGAAAGAAAGGAAGAAAGAATGTATCAATCAATGAGTGAATGAATGAAGTCGAGGGCAGGCAGGCAGGCACGTACACATACACACACACTTCGTCTGTCAATAATTAGGTTGATCCGATCTAAATGATAATGATCCATAAGCTGGTGGAACATCTGAAATCAATGCAGATGTTTGTAAATGATTGACTGGATTAAAAAGATGAACACTTTGAGAATTTTCTCCATGATTTAATGATACTACTGGTAAAGGTTGAACCAGTTTCTCATATTGATACTGTTCTACATATCTGCCATTAGTATTAAGATCACCATCACTATTATTATCATTAATATTCTCAGGAACTTCATCGATGGCATTCGACGGTGGTATTCGATGATAACGTACACGTGCACGACGTACACTGTATACACCTATAACAATTCCGCATATTATAGCAATACCACCCAAAAATGCACCTACAATACTAGAAGTGGTGCTAGTATTACTCGGTGGTTCAGTGACGACAATGTTTGGAATACCCAAACCCAGTAGGAATTTCCTACATGAATAAAAAAAATGGGGATGGATTAAATATCTCCAAAATGATAATAATAATACTAAAAATAATAATAGTTTTTTCTATAGTTGGTTTGTAAGGATTAGTTTTGTTTTTATGAGTTGATCACGGATTGATATCAGTTAGAGAACTATTGAAAACCAGCCACAGGGAGTACTGGACAGCTGCTGTTTCATCCTAGCTTGGGAATCATTGGCAGTACGCACCCACCTCCAGGGTTCGAACCTAGGACCTTTCGGTTACAAGGCAAGCTTGTATACCATTCAGCTCTGATGCTCGCTAGTGACTTGCTGCAAAACGGAGTTTCCTGGAGTTCTAGTGAGAAGTCGTGACCAGTGAAGTCCACCCAGACGTCAAGTGTGAGGATGGATATCCCACCGACGACATTGGTTAGTGGTCCCACTAAATAACGAATCGGTAGAAGTTAGAACTCATAGGCGATTGGTTTGGGGCCCAGTGATTGCTTGCCTTGTAACCAGAAGCTCCTGGGTTCGAACTTCAGTGGTTGTGTACTGCCAATGATTGTTAAAGCTAGGATGAAACAGCTGTCCAATACTCCAGTGCTGATTTTCAATGGTTTTCTAAATGATATCCGTCAACTCGTAAAAATAATAATAGTAAGAATAACAATAAAGTGAACTGCAAATAATTTGCTGAATTTTGACTAACAGTAGAATCTAGAATGTGCATTTCATCCTATTTAGGACTCATCAACTTAGAATGTGTCTCTGAATTCTTCATTAAATGAGTGAATAAGTTGTAGTGTCCCCACGGACACGACGAATCAAATATGCGTCGTCTTGATCACCGAAAAGCATTACAGACTAGACCATTTGGCATTGCAAGAGTCATCACCTCTTACGTAATAGATGTCAGTTATTGTTTCTTTATGTGTTTGATTTAAAATCACTTTATTTACAGACTTTTCTCCGTTGGTTGGAGGATTTCATCATGAGCTGACATGAGTCAGAGAATCATTGGAAAACTACCTGGGAGTATTGGACGGCTATTTCATCTCTCTAGTTTAGGACTCTGCTTCAGCAGTACTCACTCACTGCAGTGGTTCGAACCCAGGACCTTCTGGTTACAAGGCGAGCGATCTCGTTGACCATTAGGCTACCGGGACCCTATCCAATGGTCCTTGAATTCTAACTTCTGCCAATTCATGACATAGTGTGACCACTTCGCATTGTCTTCTTCGACGAGTTACTGCCTCACCTTCAACCTGCCGTACCCTACTACTGGTCACAGCTTCCTACTACAACCCCGCTAGAATTCATCGAAGAAGACGTTGCGAAGTAGTCGCTCTATGTCATGAATTGGAAGAAGTTAAAATTCATGGGCTGGTCATTGGATTGTCGGGTCCCACTGGCTTAATGGTCTACGAGCTAGCTCGCCTTGTAATCAGATGGTCTTGGGTTTGAACCCCTGCGGTGAGTGCGTACTGCTGAAGCAGAGTCTCAAACTAGGCTGACGAAACAGCTGTCCAATACTCCCTTCAGCTTTTCCAATGATTTTCTAACTGATGTCAGCTCATGACGAAATCCTCTAACCAACCAAACAAAATTCCTACAAAACCAATACTTGAAAACTTTTTTCATGAATAAGGCTAGTAACAAAAGTGATGAGTTTTCATAATCATATTTATTAATAGTAGTCGTGTGTTGGTTTACAGAGATTTGATTGATTGCTTTCAGGATTTCATTATGAACTGACACTAGTTAGGGGAGTATTGGAAAACCAGCTGGGAGACAGCTGTTTTGCCAGAGTTGTTTGGGACACATTATCAGTCCACACCCATTGAGGTTAATGCATAAAAGGCGTTGAATAAAGTATATTACAGAGTTACACAATAAGATGAATAATTTAATGAATGAGTAGTAATCAGGATTTACATATAAACGAAGGAAAAAATGGAATTATGTATGTAAGATTTCTAGAGAAATACGAAAGTAATAAAGAGTGAGGGAAACACACAAACAAAAAACTGACAAAAATCAATTCAACAAGTTTGTTACCATGATGGTAGAAGAGATTGCATAATTTTTTCTTTTGTATGCTTAGTTGCTTTCAAGTCTAACATGTTTTATCGCAACGCTGAATGAATCATTTGTTTCCTCTGGCATCAACTCTATCTCCCTGCTATTTGATGTGTTTTTATGCCGACAAATGTCCCTTTATATACTACTGATAAATCTTGTCAGTAACACATACCACATAGCTGCGGTTTCTGTAACTTAAGGTCTAATGCTTCAGTAATGCAAAGGAGATGAAAGCGTATTACCTTTAGCAGGTTATTACTCACTTTGTAGATTACTTTGAAGGAGGAGGAGGTGGAGGCGTTTGTTGAGATGTAATGATCAGTGCTGAATAGATGTTCGATTATCTCACTCCTTATTATAGCCACTACTACCTTTTTGCAGTCATGCAGGAAAGCGTTTCAAAACCCTTTCAAACATGGTACACATTGAACGACTCCAAAAGAACAGCTGAAATGACTGACGCATGCATGATATGATTCTCCTGTTGGTGAATTCGACGGAAATGTTCCTCCAGTTGACGAATCACGAATTGGGATGAAATGCCTATCCTGGGTTCCACTGCTAGTCACCCACCATCCACAAAGTGAATCCCCAGACAATGCTGAAACCTCCCTACTAGGGACTAACATGTTGATAGAGGTCAAAGATTTCTGTGAAACTAGTCAACAGGAAAATCAAAACTCAAATGAAAATAAACAATGAGCAATAAATATACAACTGCCACCAACAACGCGCCCAATAATACCAACAGCGGAAGCACATCTACCAGTGGACATCAACCCCCGACGAGAACAGAAATACTGAAGGCAATCAAGATGCTAAAAACTGGAAAACCGACAGGACCAGACAGAATCCTAGCAGAAGCATTTAAAATGGACCCAGGAAAATCGGTAGACCTGATGACATCACTACTGGAGAAGGTTTGGAAAGAGGGCAAGGTACCTGCGGGCTGCGAAGAAGGCTACGTATTCAAACTGCTAAAGAAAGGAGACTTAAGTCAATGCAAGAACTGGCGCAAGCAAAATACTAACCGCATCATCCTGGAGAGAATCAAACACGCCCTGGATTAAAAACTTCGACCGGAACAGGTTGGATTCAGGAGAAACAAACAATGCGTCAATCAAATCGCAACACTACGGATCATCATTGGATAGAGCTTGGAATGGCAGTCAGCTCTCTATCTCAACTTCATTGACTTTGCAAGGGCCTTCGACAGCGTCAGTCGAGAGGTGATTTGGAAACTGCTTCCCTACTACGAGGTGCTGCCAACAATTATGCATCTCATTCAACAGTTGTACGACAATGCTGTATGCCAAATAATTCACAACGAGAAACTTACGTAATCCTTCGTAGTGAAGACGGGAGTAAGGAAAGGCTGGCTGGCTGCCTACTATCTCCAATGATTTTCCTGATTGCGGGTGGTAGACTGGATAATGCGACAGACAGTGGACAGCGAGGAAACAGGCATAAAATGAACCCACACAAAAACTTGGAGGATCTGGACTTCGCCGATAATACATGTCTGATTTCACACAATCTGGAAGATATTCAAGTGATGAAAAGCAGCAAGTTGGTGATAGAAGAAGTATCAAATATAGGACTTCAAGTGAACATAGAGAAAACAGAGGTGATGAAGGTTCCTAGACAACAGCAACAGCAACAACAATAGACAACAAACAGCATAAATGGGAGAAATCTGAAAGAAGTGACCTCTTTTACCTACCTACCGACCTGAAAAGCATCGTTTCAACTACGGGCGGAACTGACGAGGATATTAAAGCAAGGATCCGGAAAGCAAGACAAGCTTTCACTACTCTCAAGTCTGTGTGGAGGCCAACAGCACACTCAGCATGAAAAATAAGATCGGAGTTTTCAACTACAATGTGAAGTCAGTGCTACTCACCATACGGATCAGAGACTTGGCGCGTAATGAACAGCAATACAAACAAACTACAGACCTTCATCAACAGCTAGCTGTCTTTGCTCAATATTACTCAATATCAGATGGCCGGCCAGAAAATATCAGCAACAGGGATCTCTGGCAATGAGCGAACCAGACAGGAACCGACTGTGCCACAAATGAGCAGGAAGAAATGGAGGTGGATTGGCCATACTCTGAGGAAACCATCAAGTGACATCACTAGACAAGCCATTGCTCGAGTGGAACCCAAAAGGGAAGCGGTGAGTTGGTCGTCCAAGGGTAACTTGGAGGAGGCCATGTGAAGAGGAGAATAAAGCATGTGGGCAGATGTGAACGCAATGGAGACGTGCGGCTGAAGCCCTGTTCCTCTAGGAATTAAAGGAAATAATAATAATAAATATACAATTATTTTGGACACCGTATATATTGAGTTCACCTGAAGAAGACTCTCATATAAAGATGCAACTGCAGTACAGTAATAATAGTAGTAATAAAAATATATATGATGCCATCAATTGAAACACATGGTCAAGAAAGTTGGAAAGAACTATTCTATCTAACTGTAAACAAGTAGCCCCTATATATCGCATATACATATATGTATTCAAATGTCACAACAACATACTAAGTGAAAATGCTAACCAACAAGTTAAGAAAGTCATTTTGAAGAACTTTTATTGCCATTAACCTGCAAAGTTATATTTCCTACACAGCCATTTTTCACTGCCCCAATTTAGACTAGCCACCACTTCTTGTATCTATTAGTGCGTTTTGTCAAGCCGGTCATAATGGCCGTCGTCGTTCTAGGCACCTAGTATTCCTTTCCCATAAGCTATCATCATCATCTCCTCCTCCTCGTCGTCCTCATACGATTTCCTACATATCACCCTCGGTAACACACCCAACTAGTCGTTTCCTATCCGGATTCCACTAGAGAGACTAGTGCCCAATGTCACACAGTGATCTACCCAGTGTATCTGCAGTCCATCGTCATTTTCTGTTCAGCGATAGGTTGTTGATAGTTAGTTGGTTGGCTGTCACAGAATTCCTTAGTGCACTTCAATAGTCTGTACCTTTCGATGGGACTAAGACCAACAGTCAGTTATCATTTCAAGGAATAATACTATGTTTTGGTCTGACCTCCTATAAGTACTAAGCCAAACTAATCCAATCCCTCAACGCATTCCAATCAGTCATTATTTGCGATCTTATAGATAGGTTGGTTCACATTCCTTGCATAACACATAACACCTGCTGCTCTGAGTATTGTCAAAAGTCAGTTAAATCCTTTCATAATTTGCTACTTTCAGTGAATGAATGTCAAACATCCTACTTCAGCTACTGGTCAGCTGGATAGTAACATCGGCATCATCAGCAATCATCACAAAATAAGTCTGCCTATTAGCCTGTTATACATTAAAAGTCATTCAGTTAGTCCGAGTGACTCATCTCAAAACCAGCAAACACAATGGAGTGTTCAGCAGCTAAATATTTCCCTCCCCCCCCTTGATGAATAGTCAGGTACTTCCTTCTCCGGTGGTTAAAAAAATGACGAAAGTTACTCAGCCCTAACAAGCCTTTCTTATGAAAATCAGCGTTACATTTGTGTTGATTAAATGAACGAAGCTTCCGTTGGCAATATTCTAATCACAACATTGACTGCAGAGCAAAGTAACTCAGGAGATTTTCGAAACACAAGTATAAACAAAATCAACACACACAAACACACACTAAGGCCAAATACTCAACTATAACAGAAATAACTCGAATACCCACAAAACAAACTGTATGCAGAAATCATTTACAAGAGTCCAAACACACTGTAGCACTCCAGCGACGAAGAGAATGGAGGCAAAAAACACCTACTAACTGTCTTGAAGAAGAATGCATATCCTCACAATTTCATCAATAACTGTTTCCATTCGAGTCATAACACCAACAACAAGCCAACATCAATGAACACAAGAAAATTCACCAGTCCACCATAGATAAAAAGTGTCTTTACGAGTTAATCACGGACTGATATCAGTTAGAGAAGCATTGAAAACCAGGGAGTACTGGACAGCTGCTGTTTCATCCTAGTTTGGGAATCATCGGCAGTACGCACCCACTGGGATTCGAACCCAGTACTCCCTGGTTTTCAATGGTTCTCTAACTGATATCAGTCCGTGATCAACTCGTAAAAACATAACAAACCTTTACAAACCAAACTATAGAAAATTAATCTGATGCTCGCTAGTGACTTGCTGCAAAACGGAGTTTCCTGGAGTTCTAGTGAGAAGTCGTGACCAGTGAAGTCCACCCAGACGTCAAGTGTGAGGATGGATGTCCCACCGACGACATTGGTTGGTGGTCCCGCTAAATAACGAATTGGTAGAAGTTAGAACTCATAGGCGATTGGTTTGGGGCCCAGTGATTGAATGGTCTACCAGCTAGCTTGCCTTGTAACCGAAAGGTCCTGGGTTCGAACTTCAGTGGTTGCGTACTGCTGATGATTCCCAAACTAGGATGAAACAGCAGCTGTCCAGTACTCCTTGGTTTTCAATGGTTTTCTAACTGATATCATTCCGCGATCAACTCGTAAAAACATAACAAACCTTTACAAACCAAACTATAGAAAATAAAAAGTGTCTCCGAAATAACACCTAGAATATTAAAACCATTTGAGATAGACAGATAGATAGATACAGTACACAAGCCAGCCAGCCAGTCATCACAACCACTTCATTCAATATTGTGCGAACTGAACCGATAGATCCGACAGGAAGAGAAGAAAGAAGTAATAACATTTACAAACTAAACTGTATGAACTGTTAGACACATTACGTAGGTCAGAATGGGAGTCTTCTTCGAATAAGGATCCATGAACATAAATTAGCTGTTATGTGAATGTATGTAGATAATTACGAACATCAATTTGATTGGGAGAATGTAGAAATTTCAAACAGAAGAAACGCAGATAATTTCAACGAGTTTCTAGAAGTCTAGTACTCCGATGAACCAGCGATTGATAAACACACATCACTAGAGACCAAATTTATCAACCAATCAAATCCCTACAAACCAACACTTGAATATCAATGAGATGCTCACTAGTGACTTGCCCTATTCAGGTAGGTAGTTGCCTGGGGTTCTAGTGAGAAGTCGTGACCAGTAGGGTGCAGCTACTCGGGTGTGAGGACAAATACTCGCCGAAGACATTGGCTAGGGGTCGCGCTATGTCGTGAATTGGCAGAAGTTAGAATTCATGGACCATTGGATCGGGTCCCGGTGGCTTAATGGTATACGAGCTCGCCTGGTAACCAGAAGGTCCTGGGTTCGAATCCCACTGGATGCGTACTGCTGAAGAGTTCCAAACTAGGACGAAACAGCTGTCCAGTACTCCCAGGTTTTCCAATAGTTCTCTAACTAATGACAGCTCATGATGAAAATCCTGTAACCAATCAAATCCCTACAAACCAACACTAGAATAATAAAAAGTAAATCATCACACACACGACAAGGAAGTTCAAATTCCGAGGCCGTGATGAATCAAAAGTGATCAATAGAGACGTGAATTAACAACCAGTCTCACACGATAGTTGTTGTCATCAGGGAGATACAATGATATCATCATTCATGGAGAATTTGAATTAGTTCATTTAATACTAAGAGCTGCCTGCACTGATATCTAGAAGGGCTGCTGGTGGGGGGGGGGGTAAGGAGGGGAGGTCGATGAAAGCTTCGCAATTAAATGAACCATCTTCTCAGAGAAAACATCTAATTCAGTATTATCCAGGTAGGCTAGAAATCTTCTTTATAATTTCAAAAAGAATTAAAAGACAAGAACAAAGACAAAATATAGCTTAGCTTACTCCAAGAGGAGTAATTAGTTTCTATATAATAAGAGGATTTGGGACTAGCTAGATTAATAATTTGTTCACGTGCTGCAACATGCATAACGTCTGCCTCAGTATGAATCTGTTCAAATCTCTTGCCATAGAATGCAAACGGTAGGCTCAGATGATAAGATTGAGTTTTTATCACCTTGTGGTCGAAAATTCTTCTTGGACCAAGTTTAACTGACTGAGCTTTAGTCTCTTCGCTATTTGTCCAAAATGCCGCTGGAAACTGTAAATAAGCATTGGGTGTTATCCATTCTTTATGATTGTCACTCTTCGACTTTCGTGTTCCTAGTTCAATAAATGTTGACTGGTGGAGACAATACAGAAGCCAAAAAATAAATACATAAATAAATAACCAAAAACACAGACATAAAAAAGCTATTTAAGTTACATGGTAATCGTAACAATAAATTCGCTGACTGATATCAGCTCATGATGAAATCCTCCAACCAATCAAACAAAATCCTTACAAAAAACTAATAATTATGATTATAATAATAGTAATAATAGGGCGAAGTTACAGTATCATAGCCACAGTCCAGGTCTTCCAATGTTGACCTTGAAGGACCAGTCAGATTCATCGAACGCTTTAGAAGATTATTCTAGATAGACGTCACGCATGCAACTATAGCTCTGATTAGTGATTTCTGCAAAGAATCAAACATTTAACTGGTGTAATAGCAAAAATTGGATTGATGAAGAGTTGTGTTTGTGTTTAAAGAGAGACTATGACAATAAAGCAATACAACGACCTTGTTGAAGATGAATCCTGCTATGCATGTGATAAGAGAAGATCGATTTGTGATTGATCCGTAAGGGTTCATGATTTTAAAATATTTCTTAGGTACTTTTTTTCTGCAAGTCTAAACTGTCCCGGTTAGATATCCTACAGGCGTATGTACTGTATTGTTGGATATCAGAAAAAGTCTGTAAGATCAGCACCAGAAACTGAGATAGGAAAAAGCCTGTTGTGGAAGTTGGGGGGGATTACTGGCTGTGTCTTGGAGCAGAAGGAATAGTTATTGACACCGATGAAACTGTCCTCATTAGGGAAGAAGTATAATAGGGGAGCAATAAGGGTTAATCAAGTGTGGGTGCTTGGAATATACGACACTTCGTTCAGTACGCAGGTTAAGTTTTATGGGAAACAATATTCCATAGAAGTACCGGAGTATTAATCCCAAATGTTCAGCGCTTGGTATTGCCAGGATCGATAATACATACTGACAAATGTAGAGGAAATAACCATTTATCATCTATGGGTTACATTCATCATTGTGTCAGCCATTCCTCCGATTTCGTGGATCCAACCACGGGCACACACACGCACTAAGTCTATTGAAGGGTTTTGAGAGATGCTGAAGAAAGGGATCAGGAATGTCAGTAGATCGTAAAATACTATGATTTATAGCAACATCAATAAATATATGCATCGGGTATAATACGATTAATTATTATGTAATAAGCAAAATTAATATGGAAGAACTATCGGAAAACCAGCTGGGGAGTACTCGACAGCCGTTTCGTCAGTCTAGTTAGGGATTCCTCATCAGTATGCATTCACTCACCTCCAAGGTTCCAGTCCAGGATCTTCTGGTTACAAAGCGGGCTCGTAGACCATTCAGCCACTGAGACCCGACCCAATAGCCATCACATGAATCACAATCTCTGCCAATTCGTAATATATATGGCACAACCACCAATCAGTGTCATAAGCGACATGGTGGACCCTGGTGGTTACGCCTTCTCACTAGAACTCAAGGCGACTTCTTGTATAGAGCCAGTGGGCGTCAGATTGATTATCAAGATCTATAATAATGAGTGTCTGTCAACCACTGGTTAGTGGGAATATCAAGATTCTAAGAGTTCACTGACACATTTTAGTGTTTCCACTCTTTAAAATGTCTGCATCTATCGAGTCAGATTGGTGTCCATAGTTGTCTACATTGCAACGAATTTGAAAGAAAGATATATTCAAGTGTCTTTAGACAACTACTTCATGTTCTCTGATTCACAGTCGAAGAGGATACCCACTTTGACCAATATATGGCATATATCACAATTGATGTCATTTATCTAATCGATAGTTATGATCTTGTCTTCTTTTGTTGTTGGGCGGGATTTTGGACTGTGCATCATTGTTACTATTATTTAAACACAAGACCTTGGTACAATATGGCACCAAGAAGATACGCCACACAGTAATGATAAAATAACACATGAGAATAAAGTAAAACTATGAATAGAGAACGGATAAAGTACTTCATCTTGGAAGAAAGTAGTCACATTTAACAGCATTCGTTAATTATTGTCGGAGAAGGAGGGAAGAAAGAAGGAAATTGCAGCACGCTCGCTATTGACGACTGTGACTGTTGGCCATATCCCATAACGTCTCGAGCGAGCCACTGATTCGACCTATCTTTCCGACTCCAACCAGAGTGGAGTCGTGATGTACCAACCAATGCTAGCCTAACTCACGAATATCCTTCACCGCATGACGCCACGTGATAGGCTGACCATCTCTCTGCTTTTTCCACCCTGTCCCACGGCTGGCTAGTGAACAGAGATCAGTACAGAAGACCCTGAAGTGACATTCGTAGCAGATGTCGCAGCCACTGGAGCCGATGTTTCCAGATGACAACAATCAACGAATGGTTATTTCCACTGTGTCCAAACACACGCCACACGACCTCGGAATTACTCACACGATGGTGCCATCGAATGCAAGCAAACCGGCGAAGACAGCGATGATCGAATACGCAGAGTCGTCACACATCCTCAGCTCGGACAGGTCAGGTTTCACAGGCGTAGAGGTAGACAGCACTCACCGCATCATTGCCAACCCAACCTTTGACAGCCAGACTGAAGGCGCGACGGCGTCAGAGGTGGCTCAAGTTGATGTATGCCATCCTAGCTTTCATGATACGCTCAGAAATCTCATCTGCCACGTCTCCAACAGCACTCACACAACTACCCAGATACACATTCTTGTCAACAGCTTCAAGCGGTTCACTTGCAAGAGTGAGTGCAGTTACAGACTCCTGTCAACCTTGCGACGGTATTTTCCAAACATACAGAAACTGATTGCTAGCTAACTGGTTGAGTGCGATTCGGTCAATCTGAATGCTGTCGCACAGTAAGATTATATCGTCTGCATACTTGAGGTTGAAAAGTCTTCTTTCTCCAGGAAACAGATCCATACCACAACAACCACCATCACTACTACACACGTCGTTCAGAGCTGACTACAGAATGTCATCGATTTCAAAGTTAAAGAGGGAGAGACAGTGTTAGGAAATTGGACAACCTTGTCGGGTAACCCCGCGAATAGTTGGGGACAGTGATGATGCCAGCTGGTTGTATGCCCTCACTCTCTACCTGAGGTATTTCTGCGTAAGTTTTTCAGATTGTCAACAGTCTTCTCAGGTGCACGCCTCTCTAACAGACAGACAGTTGAAGAGCACTGTGCATAATATTGACTAGTATGAAGTGATTGATTGATTGTGTTCGTCTGTATGTGTGTGATAATCAATTCCGAATGATTTCGATAATAGTCTAAAACAGTTATGTAAGTGAAGCTAACAGATTTGGGTCAATTCGATTATTGGAACATAAAAATTTAGCTTAACCTAGAATGATTCACTTTGGTATGTTAAATAATCTAGAAAAAACATCCCGTGTCATTGCATGCAATAACACAAAATAGGGTGAGTGGGTATCAGGGTGAGAGTAATAATAAGTAATATAGTTAGGTGGAGTGACCAAGAGGTTAGCTAATAAATCATTGTTTATCGATCCTCTACAGCACATGTACATCGAAATGATGCAACACCGATACCAGAGATATGCAAAGTCGCAACAAACAACATGCGGTAGAGAGAGAAATATCTCATTCGAATTATGAAGTCGTGTGACTAGATTCATATGATTGATTATGAGCAATAATTTGTGCTTGGAATAGCATACAGTTATTAATACATCAACCACATCACTGTGTGCTATTTCACATGAATTTATCTAATAATGAATGGTTTTTGACTGTTTCTTGTGTTTTTTCAGAGAATGATTTGTTGCTGTGAGTATTTTCATTTGAGTTTGGAAAAACAGTTTTTTCAGTGAAATTGTAACAATATAATATATTATAGAGGAAGTTCGTGGCTGATTTTTTTTCTTTTTCGACTTGTTTCTTGTGTTCCCTGAGCGAGTCGATTTAATTACGAAGCTGTCATTTTCCACTGGTAAGATTGACATCTTCAGCACAGGCTATAATGATGCGGTACACTTGTTTGAATTATCAATGAATGATGGCATAATTATATCTCTGCTGACAATCATTCTTGTGATTCCTTGTTAAATTTACATTATTAGTATTGATCGTTCTGACTGACTTGGAATTTGACAGACTTTTTGTCATATGACTAAATTCCTTATTAGTTGGTAAATTTGATCTATGGAAATGTGTGCTTTTTTAATTGCTGGGGCTGATGCATTTGAGCAGCAAGCTTCTAGAAATGCTTCAGCAGTTTTGGTGTTTCCTGTACTCTCCGAATCAAATTGATGTTCGTAATTATCTACATGCATTGACATAACGAGAGAATATATGTCGAGACTATTTTGATTTGACACTAGTAACTTGTGTAATGCGTCTAGTCCTCTATTTGGTGCAGACTGAATTCTATCAGTCAGGTTGTAATGTGGCCACCATTCTAGGTAGCTCGCCATCACGGTGTACATTGTTTGTGATGATATTAGATGGTTGGAGGCAATCGGCAGGAAGCCTTGGATCTAGGTTTCGTGCTAGCTGGCACTCGTCAGCAAGGCGTGTCTGCAACCTCTAAGGAACTCATGTCCCTTCTGAGATTCGAACCCGCGTCACCCAGTGCTGCAGTTAGAGACGTTACCACTGAGCTATTCGGGCTCGCGATTGACCTCCTGTAGGACTGTGGTGGCGAGCTACCTAGAATGGTGGCCACATTACAACTGACTGATAGAATTCAGTCAGCACCAAATAGGGGACTAGACGCATTACATTAGTTACTAGTGTCAAATCAAAATATCCACCACAGTCCTACAGGAGGTCAATCGCGAGCCCGAATAGCTCAGTGGTAACGTCTCTGACTGCAGCACTGGGTGATTCGGGTTCGAATCTCAGAAGGGACATGAGTTCCTTCAAGGTTGCAGATACGCCTTGCTGACGAGTGCCAACTAGCACGAAACCTAGGTCCAAGGCTTCCTGCCGATTGCCTCCAACCATCTAATATGTCATGTTTCTTTACAGCTAATTTATGTTCATGGATTCTTATTCGAAGGAGACTCCCATTCTGACCTACGTAATGTGTGTCTAACAGTTCATACAGTTTAGTTTGTAAATGTTATTACTTCTTTCTTCTTTTCCTGTCGGATCTATCGGTTCGGTTCGCACAATATTGAATGAAGTGATTGTGATGACTAGCTGGTTGGCTTGTGTGCTGTATCTATCTGTCTATCTCGAATGGTCTTATTATTCTAGGTCTTATTTCGGAAACACTTTTTGTGTATGGTGGACTGGTGAATTTTCTTGTGGTCTTTGATGTTGGCTTGTTGTTGGTGTTATGACTCGAATAGAAACAGTTTTTGATGAAATTGTGAGGATATCCATTCTTCTTGAAGACAGTTAGTAGGTATTTTTTGCCTCCATTCTCTTCGTCGTTGGAGTGTGTTTGGACTCTTGTAAATTATTTCTGCATACAGTTTGTCTTGTGAGTCATTGGATTGTCGCTGTTATATTTGAGTATTTGGTCTTGTTGTGTGTGTGTGTGTTGATTTTGTTTATACTTGTGTTTCCAAAATCTCCTGAGTTACTTTGCTCCGAAGTCAATGTTGTGATTAGAATATTGCCAACGGAAGCTTCGTTCAGTTAAACGACACCGTCCAGTTTATAGAACAACACAACCACATCAAAATTTTCATCATCCTCCCTAGTCGAGCTACAAATCTTCTCTAATATTATATAATGAATGTATTTATGATATACGTATTATTATTATAAAACACAAAGGTGGTACATTATGCGCACCAAGAGATACACAAGACAAGATCTCATAGCTTCTGAGATAGCTGGGATACTGTCTGAACACCTAAATCGATGCAAGTGGTTGTCTTAACGGACCATCCCTAAACCCAGCCCTTCAAACACTTGACTTTGAAGTCTGTGTGACTGACTAGGCAAATGGTGCTGAGTTTTAAAAAAAAAGCTTCATTCCATGGGTTCCAAGTGATTAAAACAGCTGCACAGGTTATTTGATCCTTTTGAGATTCTGTAGACCGATGTACCCTCCTCTCCTCACTGCCCTCCTACCAAGGTAGACCTCCATATCCACTGGTTGGATTATAAGCGTCAGACATTTTTTTTCTTACTTGCCTTTTCACCTTCATGAGGGATATGCCTCACCGCATGAAGCCAGTTTATGATGAACTAATCAAAAGAGACAGGGCTAAAAGTAAAAAAAATCTGAACCAAAGTGAAAGGAGAGTGAAAAGAATAAAACATTATGAAACCTGGATATTTCGTCCAAGAGGACCTTCTTCCGCATTCACTTGTATTGCACTCTGTTCCAGATAATCTTGATCATCCTTCAAGGAATGATTTGAAAATATAAGTAGAACTGGAGAGAATCTCTGGACTTCATTAACAACGTCAACTTGATCTAATATAAGTTCTGTAAGAATAGTTAACGAATTATCAATTTCGTAATATAACGTCTTTATCGGTTTCATTGGATTATGGTAGACTTGAAACTATAAACAGAAAGGAAACAAAAGATAGAGAAGTACAAGAAACAGAGAGATACTCAGTGAGTGATCGAGTAATAAGGCAATTCTTATAAAACCTTGACGTCATATTGTAACGACAGAAGACAAGAGTCAGGCAACAGATCGTTTATTGATAAAATCAAGAGATATTTATATGTTTGTATGTACATTATTGTGCGTCGGTGTTGAAGCGGTTAGGACGCTCGCCGACCATGCACATGGTCCGGGGTTCGATCCCCGGCCGACGCACTCCTTTACCTAACTGAGCCAAAAATAATGCTGGTGAAGAGGAAAGGTTGGGCATGAGGCTAGCAACCCCATCCTGACAAATAAACACTGCTACAGAAACTTCAAGCCAATAGCTTGAAGCCCTATGTTCCACTGGGGAACGTGAAGGGAAAAAATGTACATTATTGTCAGCGGAGCAGCAAATTCCTCTGATTAGTGGTTTTCTTGCTTAAGGTTATTCTATCATCTCTTTGTGGCCATGCCTTGGAAAGTCAGGCCACATATCTGCGCATCATATTTGCACACGTTATGTCTGCTGTGATTGGTTGGTGAGTTCCTCAGGGTTAAGCCTTGTTTTTGTGTTTTTTTCTGATGACCCCGATTCGGGACGTAAACATTGACGTAAATTGTTGTCTACCCATTTTGGCTTGTAGACAGCTATCACCACAATATGAATTTCAGTGGCTTGATATCCGGCTACCGGATGAAAGATGAGTGAGTACTGAACAATAAGTGTCTTAGGATGGGTAGCATATCATTATTATTGTTAGGCGTAAAATTATGATTGATTCAGTCAATCGGATATTGATGATCTGTTGTTTCTTTTGGGGGGTTGAATTTCTGTTGATGTGAAAAAAATAATTTACTCTGTATTGTAAATCATACAGCCTCGTACCGTTGAAATACAAACGCTATCTAATAAAGTGCTTGGTCCGTCACAGAGCAAGAATCACGTGCTCAAATGAATGTTTTAATGGAGAAAGGGCTTAATATTATTAATAAACAATTGCTGAGTGAGAACAGCTATCCAGGAAAATTCATCGATAAGAATATGAATCAAAAGTCAAGGCAGCCCAAGGTAACAACACTTCTGCAAAAAGCCTTATTCTTACAACTTCAGATATTAAAACACAACGCCTAAGGAATGCGATAAAAAAAGCATTCAGTCCCCCTGAAGTATACTGTCTCTTCAGAACCGCCCCTATTTTGCGTTCGGGAGTTAAAGATAAACTGCCTAATTTCGCCTCTTCCATGAGTATCTACCAATTTAACTGCTCCTGTGGAGCCAGTTACATAGGCCATACAATTAACCGTGTTTCTCGTCGGATTTCCGAACACCATCCTGCGTAGTTGAGCAAGCGATAAACATCTCATCTTGTGGATACAGAAGACAAAATTGATGAAGTTAACGAGGCGACTTTCAAGGTTATCTACCGTATTCCAACTAATCTTAATTTTACCTTAAGAGTTCGTCTACTACATATTTCTGAGGCTGACTGTTGGAATCTACAATAAGAAGCCTAACTTATGTATGTATCCAAAAGAAGATGTTGGTTTAGACGCTTTCTTTACCCCGCACAGCCTAGCCATCAAGGTTTTAATGATCTTCAGTTTGTTGTAGAAATTTCCTTAATTTTATTTGATATTCTATTTACTACTACATTTTTATGCTTATTATAACTTAAGTGTCTTTCTTGAACTGTAGTTTTATTGTTCATAACAAATTGACAGTGGTTAAAAACACCAATATTGGTAATGACGATTATTCTAGAATATTCTGTGTGCGTGGAGCCAGAAGAGCGAATTATCGAAAAGGATAGTCTTTGCTTAAATGTTCTTTTGTCTTCTAAATAATACAGTTACCGTTGTCTTGGCAGTTGTCTCAGTTAGATCTGACTTCCGGTGTGTGTGTGTGTGTGTGTTGAGCTGTGTCTGTTCAGTGTGGAGAAACATTTCCGACTGATCAATTATCTTGAGGAGCATTATAGTCAGGATAGACAACAACCAAGAAAACATTAACACTCCGTTACAAATAAGTTGACTGTCTTTTTCTATAGCAATGATATATGACTGTTGAAAAGGGGGGAGACTTCATATGGCTAGCTACACCAATACAGAATGTATATATACATATATATATATATAGGAATGGAATATAATGGTTTAGAGTTTTGATCACTGCACTTATTTGGAAGTTGTATCATCAGACTTAGTGAACTACTGCCTAATTGATTTTATTGTGAGTTGAAGTTTTTCTGACAGTTTGAATGGTTTTGTGGGTTAGAGTCACTGATTCCATGCCCTACAACTCCCTCTTTACGCGGACTCTAGAAGATCTGGATTTCATTTTCATATCTGTACAATCGTAGATATGAAAATGAAATCGTCGAAAAGAGAATTTTCCTCGCTGAATTCTTTGTTTTGATCAATTAATTAATTAAACTAAAAAGAAAAGAAATTGTGCTGTCAAAATATTATTTCGTCAATAATACATGTATCATTGTTTTCTACATGAATGCTACTATTATTATCATTTTCCCCTGGATACGGAGAGTGGAACATTCGTTTCATGAAAATTTTAAATCAGTTCAGTTTATGCTGAAAATAGCTCTGAAAGGGGACGTTGTCCAGTAGGACGACGATAGCTCCGTAACTAAACCAGCCAGCTCAGAGAACACTACTAACTGCAAATCATACTCATCTGAGCTACAAATCTCTCTCAATTATTTTAAACAACAATGCCGAAGGAAACGTTGGAATTAATCATTTCAATTTCGCTGAGATATTACAAATATAAATTTATAAATGTCTACTTCTCACTCAGCGCTCAATCATTTTGCAACTATCCGGTCAAATCTTGATCACAGTTCATATGAATATATGGCTTAACTTTTTGAGAAACGGTTACACGCAGTACAGAACAATCCCGAGCAAGAAAACAACCAATCAGAAAAGTTTGCTTCACAGCTGACAATAATTGACATAAAAATCTATAAATATCTCTTGATTTTCTCAATAAACAATCTGTTACCTGGCTCTCGTCTTCTGTCGTTACATATATACATATACATATACATGAATAACGATAGGCAATAACAATCAGTTTTCTTCTGTGTGTTTGACAGTGAATGGAAATACTAAAGTGTTATAATAATACTGGTGTATAGGATTATGAACCACAAAATGATTAGATATATGAATGAAGAACTAAATAAATAAATAGAGGTCAACCCTAAGTACAATAGACAACGGGTGTGAAATAGATGATGGGAAGATAAAGTACGTTCAGAAATGTGAATATGTGAACATAGGGTTCGGCATTTGATCCGTTGCTAGCATACTTCTTTTTGGCTAGTTTGGAGAGCAGTACTCTCACACCTACTAAAAAGGGGCTTACCTTCTACAAAAGATAAGTGGATGACACATTCATTATATGCGACGAGAACTGCTAATTGAATGACATCCTGAAAGTATTCAATGACAGTCAGCCTGCTATCCAGTTCACCTTAGAAAAAGAAAATGAAGGAAAAATATCTTTCCTTGATGTGATACTCACAAGGAGAGCTGATGGGTCTTTGAAAAGATCCGTGGACGGAATAACTGACCAGTTTTTACAGTTTTGTCCTCATAGACAGAAAAAGGAATCTAATCTACTCTGTGTTTCTCTCAACACGAGTGCGGAAAATTTGTAGTGAAGATAGTCTTGATGATGAACTCAAACAACTGAAAGAAACCTTCATAGAGAACGGGTTTCCATTACGCTTCGTAGAGGCCAATACCAAATTACGTGGGAGAATTACGGAGATTGACAAGGTAGGTAAAAAAACGTGTTGCACCTAAAGTTAGAATTTAGGGGTAACACTGCCAGTGAATCACTTAAAAATCATCTAATGATATCATCGATTGTCTGATTCCATGTATATTTATTGTTCACCTACTCTTGCGGAGCTAGGTACATAGGACGTTCGTCGAGAAATATATCCCGCCGTATTCGAGAGCACCACCCAGTTTGGCTGAGCAGAGGAGAACGTAGAGGTATTAATTCATCGATATTGCAACATACTGTAGGCACTGACCACGCACCACCTGACACATCGCTTAATATTGTGTACAAAGTTTTCTGAAAGGGGCACGAGGGCATTTGCTGTGTATAGCAGCGGCTTTGGCGATAAATAACACAGAAAGCCAGAACTTTGTGTACAAAAACAATTTGTAAGATCTCTTTCGTCACTCCATAGTCTTGATTTTACTATGTAATTCACATAACAACTTTGTTATCACGAGTTGATCACGGATTGATATCAGTTAGAGAACCATTGAAAACCAGCCACAGGGAGTACTGGACAGCTGTTTCATCCTAATTTGGAAATCATCGGCAGTACGCAACCACTCTCTAGGGTTCGAACCCAGGACCTTCCGGTCACAAGGCAAGCTCGTATACCATTCAGCCACTGGGACCCGATTCAATCGCCAGTCCATGAATTCTAACTTCTACCAATTCGTGACTTAGCACAACAACCAACCAATGTCATCGGTGGGAAATCCATCCTCACACTTGACGTCTGGGTGGACCTCACTGGTGACAACTTCTCACTAGAACTCCAAGAAACTCCGTCCTGTAGCAAGTCACTAGCGAGCATCAGATTAATTTGTTATCCTTCATAGTCCATGTTCCATTTTTGTTTTATTTAATTTTACTTTTATTTTATGTTACAAAAAAAAATACTATTTTGACAACATTTCACGCATCCTATGTCGTCGCCATCATATTATATTCATATATATTCACATTTCCGAATGTACTTTGTTTTCCAATCATCTATTTCACACATATCGTCTATTGACCTTTAGGTTGACCTCTATTTATTTAGTTCTTCATTCATCCCACCTCCGACACACGCTTTTTGTGCGTCGGTGGCATAGTGGTTAGGACTCTCGCCGACCATGCACCTGGTCCGAGGTTCGACCTCCTGCCGGCGCACACCCGATATCTATGGTCGGCCTGCAAAATTTGGGCTACCGATATCCATGCTGAAAATTCCATACCTGTACCTAACAATACGGTGTGGCATCAAGCTGTAATCAAAATAAAATAATAAATAATACATCTAATCATTTTTTGACTCATAATCCTATACACCAATATTATTATAACATTTTAGTATTTTCACTCACTGTCAAACTTTTACATACAAGATATATATATATATATTTACATCAAAGTTTATTTACAACTTACAATTAACTTGATAGCACCGTTGATTTTTTCATGACTATCTAAAGACTGATGAGCTTGAAATTCAACTGTCACTGGTTCCTTGTCGGAATCGAATCTAGTTAACGTCCAGTTGAGATTACTTCCCAAGAATGTTTTAGTCGAAGTTGAAACAGCGTCTGGGATTATTCCACTATTGTCTGTATCATTATAACGCATAATCTAATCACATATGGAATAAAAGTATTAGTAATAATGATAATAATAATAATAAAACTATATATGCACAAACCCGGTGTAGAATCCATCCATAGGATTGAATAACATTGTTAATATAAACTGAATCTCTGTACTCTAAAACATTTGAAGTATTTAATCTAGAACAGTTGACATTTAATTGAGAATCAGCTTTTGCATTCACTAAAATGACAGCTGGTGGATGATGAACTTGAGCCATAATTAGAAACCAAGTTCTATGCGTTTCATTTGTGATTGATATATGATACAGGCTGATATTGCCACAAGATGTACTGTTTGAAGACAACACCTAAAATAGGCATGTATATATAATAATATATATATATTATATAAAGAGAGAGAGAGAGATTAAATTTTCTTCTCCAAAACCATGAATGGAACTCACTTCATTACCATATGAACGGATCAGTTGTACAGATGTGAAGTAGAAGAAGACAACGACGGAGAAGAAGTGGAAGAGGCGTAGAGCAGACGACAATCGACCGGGATACATTTTTGTTGACTCTAGTGAACTGGTGTATCTTACAACAGTGTTGCAGCACAGTGTAAACGAATTGATGACTGTAAGACAATTACAAATAGAATAAAACAAAAGATAAGAAATAGAAATCTCGACATAGTACACACACACAACACACAAGACTGACAGAAATATAAAACAATGATTGATACATGAAAAAAAAGGTCGAATAAAAATATTCACATTTCAGAGTAGATCATCATCTAAGGCTGTACTCCACCCTTTAGCAATAAACACATATTGATTATTATTGTTTCCTTTAATTCCTAGAGGAAAATAGGGCTTCAGCCGCTCGTCTCCAATGCGTTCGGTTCTCCGCCAGCGTTTTCATCATCCACATCTGTCCACATGCTCTCATCTCCTCTTCTCTTCATCACCTCCTCCATGTCACCCCATCCTCGTAATGACGACCAACCAACTCGCCGCCTGATTCCCATTCCATTGGGTTCCCACTAGACCAATGGCCTCACTCACTTGATGGTTTGTTTTCTCAGACTACGGCCAATCCATCTCCATTTCTTCCTGCATATTTGTCGCACAATTGGTTCCTGTTGGGTTGGCTCGCTCATTGCCAGAGATCCCTGTTGCTGACGTTTTCTGGCTGGCCATCTGATCTTGAGTAGTGTTGAGCGAAGACACCTAGCTGTTGATGAAGGTCTGTAGTTTGTTCGAAGTGGCCTTCGTGTCGTGGCGTGGAGTGGCCCCAAGTCTCTGATCCCTATAGTGAGTAGCACTGACTTCACATTGGAGTTGAACATCCCGATCTTGTTTTTTCATGCTGAGTGTGCTGTTGACCTCCACACAGACTTGAGAGTAATAAAGGCTTGCCTTGCTTTCTCAATAAACATACAGAGAGAGAGAGAGCATTTTTAATACAGTACAATAGAATACAAAATAAAACAAAATTTACCAATCTAATGGTGATATGTTTGTGAACACGCAAAAAGCCTGAAGAATACAGTACTCTAAGCATAAACACCAATGCTAAATCAGTCATTCAGTTAGTTCTTCGTCTATATGGGTCAGAAATATGGAGAACGTGTTATGAAAAGCATTTCCAACAGGCTAGTGCATACGTTTACCAACATCTGCCCATTTCACTGGCTACCCACACACACGCTGTACAAACCCTAGGGTGAAATAGCACACCAGGCAGGCCGTTGAGTGAAATCCAAATCGGATACTACGAAATGGGCATAAATCTGAGAGTGACAATAAACAAGATCGTGTAAGCAGGAGATAAGAGATCATGGACATTTTGTTCGGTCACATAAAGAGGACGAATTGGAGATGTGTTGTTCAAGTGGCGTGTGGTAATCAGAAACCAAGGGAAGAATAACAGTAATAATAAATGGGCTATTTAACCATTATTTCAACATACAAAGGCATACATATACTTGCATAATTTACACAGTGTCAGCCTATATTCACAGTATTTTATTTAACTAATATATACATATTCACATCAACGATTCTTTTACTTTCACAGATTCAGTCTGGAGACATCTTGGTTGAACAATCTATTATCAGTTAGAGGATTTCATCATAAGCTAACATCAGTTAGAGAACCATTGGAAAACCACTAGGGAGTACTGGACAGCTAGCTGTTTCGTCCTCGTTTGGGACTCTTCATAAGTACGCAACCACTGCTAGGGTTCAAACTCAGGACCTTCTGGTTACAAGGTGATCTCGTAGACCATCAAGCCACTGGGACCCGATCCAGTGGTCACCCAATGAATTCTAAACTAGGACGAAACAGCTGTCCAGTACTTCCTGCGGCTGATTTTCCAATTGTTTTCTAACCAATGTCAGCTCATGATGAAATCCTGTAACCAATCAATCAAATCCCTACAAACCAATACTTGAAAAATCTATTATTGGATATTTCCATGGTCAAACTAATTGTTGTGAATATAAACACGATTACGCCTTCTAAAATGCTCATGATTATACTGTTTTTTTATTTCTTCACATTCCCATTGGAACATAGGGCTTCCTCAAGCTAGAGGCTTGAAGTTTTTGCAGCAGTTTTTATTTTTACAGGATGGGGTTGCTAGCCTCAAGCACAACCTTTCCTCTTTACCAGCTTTATTACTGGCTTAGCGAGATAAAAGAGTGCGTCTGTGGACGGGGATCGAACTCCGGACCATGTGCATGGTCGGCGAGCGTCCTAAGCTCTGTGCCACCGACGCGATTATACTGCAGGAATTTAATTGATGAGGTCTATATATATACATGCTTGTATAGGTTGATTCTGTGTGATTCTCCAGTTAACTGTCATTAAGTTGTACAATCTGACAAGTGCTCGACACTTATCATGATTAGGACACCTTATGTGTGATGCGTAACAGTCTAGGATAGTAAATCCCAATAAAGGAACTCATCATATTCTGCATATGCAGAAAGATAAACAGTCAGTATAAAGTTGATAATGCTGAAAATGAATGAGACTCTCGTTAACTCATATGAAATCAATAATAGTTGAGTACAGTGCAGTGAATTCTCACAACACTGTCGTATGAAAGCAGTAGTGATGATAGATAGACATGTCTAACAACAGTCACGTTTATCAGTAGGCTGTGACAAATACACCTGCAACAAATAAGATTCGTATCGATTTCATTTTCTTAACTGCCTTTAATATCAACCGACTGTCTTCTGTAAACAAAAAATCAACCTAGATTCACTTGAAACTGTTATTCTAAGGAATGCGAACCGAAATCACGTGTAACATAACAGATGAAGGTACATGCTTGCATGATTGATGAATATAGAAATTAAATGAGAAGTCAGAAAGTTTTCCAAGAAGACATGAATTACAGGAACCCGTCAGATTGTCAAACATTCTGTCTTATAATTTAATATTCTTATTTTTATTATTTTAATTCTTTGCGTTCCGAATGAAAAATTTGGACATCAAGGTAGAATTTTTTAACTTTCACTAGCTTTTTTTTGATACAATACAAAACAATTTTACCAATGCAATGATGATATCACCATAAATGGGAGAAATCAGAAAAAAAAGCAACCTCCTTTACCTACCTACCGACCTGGGAAGTATCGTTTCAATTACAGGCGTACGGAATTGATGAGGATGTCGAAACAAGGATCGGGAAAGCAAGACAAGCTTTCATTAATATAAGTATAAAACTTGGGCACTGTGGTAGTGTATAACTCCGTTACGGATAAGATTTTATTTTGATAAAGTCACATACAGTGTTTTACAGTAATATTAACTGATGACGTTTTGAGCACAAACTACTGCTCATAATCAAATCAAAGCACTCACTCACACAACTTTTTACTTAATTTATATACATGAGTGAAATTGATTAGATATACACGTACATCATAACATTCTAACAAGTTACTTATTTTGACTGTAAAAACATCTTACTTCCCGCCTGATTGTACTTGATTGATAACACTCATATTATTATTTCTGAATGTACATTATCCTACATTGATTTTTATTCAAACGTCATCAATTCCACTCATGTATATAAATGAAGTAAAAAGTTGTACGAGTGAGTAACTTGATATGATTATGAGCAATAGTTTGTGCTCAAAAAGTCATCAGTTAATATTACTGTATAACAACACTGTGTGTGACTTTATCAAAATAAAATCCTATCCATAATCAATGTTTCATTAGTCTCAAGTCTGTGTGGAGGTCAACAGCACACTCAGCATGAAAAAACAAGATCGGGATGTTCAACTCCAATGTGAAGTCAGTGCTACTCACTATAGGGATCAGAGACTTGGGGCCACTCCACGCCACGACACGAAGGCCACTTCGAACAAACTACAGACCTTCATCAACAGCTAGGTGTCTTCGCTCAACACTACTCAAGATCAGATGGCCAGCCAGAAAACGTCAGCAACAGGGATCTCTGGCAATGAGCGAGCCAACCCAACAGGAACCAATTGTGCGACAAATATGCAGGAAGAAATGGAGATGGATTGGCCGTAGTCTGAGAAAACAAACCATCAAGTGAGTGACATCACACGCCAGACCATTGGTCTAGTGGGAACCCAATGGAATGGGAATCAGGCGGCGAGTTGGTTGGTCGTCATTACGAGGATGGGGTGACATGGAGGAGGTCATGCAGAGAAGAGGAGATGAGAGCATGTGGACAGATGTGGATCCAGGTCGTGAAAACGCTGGCTGAGAACCGAACGCAATGGAGACGTGTGGCTGCAGCCCTATGTTCCTCTAGGAACTAAAGGAGATAATAATAATAATAATATAATGATAATGACGATATGAGTATGAACGCACAAAGCCTGAAGAAAACAGTTTTGGAGAAATAAGGTTATCCAATGCAGCAGAGGTATAGTGTCTCTTCTGTTACAACCACTCCGATTTTACACGTTCAAGAAATGAGGATAAACTATGCAGTTTCGCCTCTTCTATGTGTATCTACCAGTTTGACTGTAGCTGTGCTGTCAGCTATACTAGGTGGGCAATTAGGCAGGCCTGTCGTCATCATTAGATTTCCGAGAACATCGTCGTCGATGGTTAAACAAGGGGTGGGGGACAAACAAGATCTATTCGTAACTATCTGTTATAGCACACCTTGTAGACAGTGAGTATAAAGTTGATGTTAATACAGCATTTAAAGTTATTTATCACATTCCTACCAATTTTAATTTCCCTTTACGAGTTCATCACTTACACAAAACTGAAACCATTAGAATCCATTTGAAGAAGCTAAAAAAAAAATTGTGTGTTAAAAAGGAAATCGTACAGACACTTTCTTTATCTTGGCTATCGTTACACAAATGACTATTTCGCCCACCTTAAAAGCTTTTTAAAAAATTTTCATTGTCCAAATTATTTCACTTCTCTTGATTAAATCATCTTTAATTGCCTATTACGTAATCAACCCCAACATTCACTAGTTTTCGAAATTCTTTTTGGATTTAATTTATTTCAAGTTTGATTATGGATTGATATTGGTTAGAGAACCATTGGAAAGCTACTGGACAGCTGTTTCGTCAGCCTAGTTGAAGATTCACCGGCGGTACGCACCCACCA